CTGATGTTTGGGTATACTATAGCTATAATCACTGCTTCACTTGGGACTTGAGAGAACTACAGCCGATATACTCAGTCAAAGTATAGGGGATCCATTACATAAAGCATGTCAGAGACAAGCCAAGGGTAATGGAGTAATGGAGAGATAGTGAAAACGAGAATTAGCTAGAGTCAGGTGCACTGTAATCAGTCAGATAGGCAAACTAGTTTGCTATTGACCTGATAGTATAACTCCAAAACTGACATATAAAAAAAAAAAAAAATGTCATAGGCTTTTACATTTCCTTCAATTCCCTTAAGTAATTGTTGTGTTCCCAGACTTAAAAACTCTGTATACAATAAAGTGTGTGTTAATTTATGTGTGTGTGTGTGTGTTACCATATTTATAACAGGCATTAAAAAGTGTATAATGGGACATAGGTTATATTATATTAATAATAATCTCCTTTTTAGGCATATAAAATAAAACCATGATTGAAGTAATAGAAACATAAATTTTTTTTGTGCAATCAGAAGAAATTGCAAATGTTGAAAGATGACACTGTAGTTCATAATGTAAAAATTGTGGAAAGAAAATCAAGTTATATTCTGAAGTACTGACACTTTAATAGTCATTCTTAGATCAATCAATCATTTCTAAGCCATGCACTTGTTTTCTTTGATCTAATAATTCCCTTTTATCTTTGTTTTTATGAATATGATTTTAAACTATTTGAAGTTTCCCATTAATCATTTTTTTTTGTTTTAAGTTGATTTCAGACAATCTTAAAGGTGACATTTTTATTTTCTCTTTGACCTAATTATATATTTAATGCATTCCTAACTATTCAGCAGTTAACTTTTGAAAATACAAATAAGAAGATTCCAAACAAAATAATTTTTTAAAACACATTTCAATTGTCCTAAATATTTTAACAAAGAGTTGGATTTCTAGCCCGGAGTCCAATAAGAGTAGTACTAGACAAGGTACCCAGACATTCAAGGTCAAGCAGAGCATGTTGAGCATGCTTAGGTTAAGAAGGAGAATATACCATTATAGAATTTTTATATCAACCTAGAGTATTAGTGTGCTAAATAAAAAAAATAAAAAAATTAAGTATGAAAATTACATGAGCTGACATTGATAATTAGGAATGGAAAACATGCCTAATTTTGGACTAAAAATAACAATGTCATCCTTGGTTAAAAAACAAACAAATAAAACAATGCTCCATGAATTATATTTCACTGGATATAAAGTAGAGTAGCAGGTCACTACTTTGTAGATGTGTGAGCGGAGGAAAATGAAAATTCTGGTGAACACTGGAGTCAATGCAATCATTCCCCTAGAATGGAAACATGAACAATGAGAAAAAAATATTGTGATCTAAGAGTATGTGACCTTGTACTTTTACAGATTCAGATGAAAGTGAAATAGTCATAAATAGGGGGATGACAATACACATTCCTAGGACGGGGGTAGACAACTTTCGGCATTGTGGACTAAATGTCCCATAATGTAATCCAAAACCAGGGCCAGAATTATATGTCAGGTGCATGTAGGCACAAAATTCTAAAGTGCCCCCTGCTCTCAAATAAAGAATAACTCAAATGGATGTTGCAGGCCTTAAACATCTAAAAAAACATATTCATGTTTGAAAACTGCATATGTATAAATGTATGTATGTACATATTTCTTCTCTGCTTGCAATACATTGTGCTTGAAATTTTGAGTACAGTGATGGTATGAAACTGTGTAAATGCATGCAGTGTTAGAAGTGGTAATGGTATGGGGGGGGGTTAAGGTTAGAGAGTGGTTAATGTCAGAGTTATTTTGAATAGGGTATTTAGTGTTACAAAGAATGATAGTAAAACACAAAAAAAGGTAACAGCGCACACACACACCAGTGGGTGGTTTACCTGACCAATAAATAGCAGGTATCTCCTCCTTATATACAATAAATGTATTGAATATTGAAATACCTATACAAAGGGTATAAACATAAAACAGAACATAGTGAAATCTGTATATTACACACAATTAAAATGAAAGTTCTGAGTTGGAAACACTCACACTTTAATGAGCCGTTTAAAGTAGGCTCGGGACTTATATGGCTTTTATGTCACTTATATGGGACATACGCATATTCTTTACTCATCAGGCAGGTTCTCCTTTGATGTTAGTGGTCTTCTATAATGGAGCAGGAATCAGGAGCCAGGAACCAGGAGTATCAGAATAAAATATTTATTTGAAAATAAAAAATGATAAGAAATATTGCACAATGCGTTTCAACCAACTAACAGTGGTCATCTTGTGCAATATTTCTTATCATTTTTTATTTTCAAATAAATATTTTATTCTGATACTCCTGGTTCCTGGCTCCTGATTCCTGCTCCATTATAGAAGACCACTAACATCAAAGGAGAACCTGCCTGATGAGTAAAGAATATGCGTATGTCCCATATAAGTGACATAAAAGCCATATAAGTCCCGAGCCTACTTTAAACGGCTCATTAAAGTGTGAGTGTTTCCAACTCAGAACTTTCATTTTAATTGTGTGTAATATACAGATTTCACTATGTTCTGTTTTATGTTTATACCCTTTGTATAGGTATTTCAATATTCAATACATTTATTGTATATAAGGAGGAGATACCTGCTATTTATTGGTCAGGTAAACCACCCACTGGTGTGTGTGTGTGCGCTGTTACCTTTTTTTGTGTTTTATTGTATCTGTTCTAAGTATACATAGTGGTGATATACTTGGGTATAGCTGCACCAGTCACCTACCTTTTTCCTTAAGCGCCACTTCTATCTTTACTTGCTAAAGAATGATAGTAGTTGAAGTTGCAGTACAAAGGCTGTTTATTGAGTTTAGGACTAGAGTTGGGTTACATTTAATATTGGGGTACATGAGGTGTTAAACATAGGATAAATGGTAAAGGGTTTATTTTCATGTTTAGGCTTTGAGTGCTGGAGTTTGAAGGGTTATTTGCAAAGTACTCACCCTCCTGTGCTGCCTCTAGACCAGTCAGGAATGGTTATATGGGGTGCTAAGAGGCTGTTAGTTGCCTGAAATAAAGTAATTCCTTCCTTTCTGGTGCAAAAGATTTCCTGCCCCATACCTAGGGAATACTATTCTTTCAAAAAGTAGAGTTCAAATAATTTTTGGTGAGGGTAGTTTTATTTTTGAGGGAAACTGCATTGTCCTAAAGGGCTACCAAAATTTAAAAAAATTGGAACAGGGGCAGCCAACCTCTAAAAACATAAATGGACAACCATAGAGGATATGAGAAACACAGTTCCTATTTGCCCAAGTGTCACCAGATGTAGGAACTTCAAACCCAGTAATAAACATAACACCACTGCAATTGCTCAAAGTTCACAGGAGGTTTAATTGGCACAAAATAAAAAAATAAAAAAGGGGGAAAGATGTGTGTGTGTATGTTTATATATTTATAAATACTTATTACACTCATTGACATGCTAATCAATATGTAATTTTTTTCTTTTGTAATTCTTTGTTTTATTGAGGTTAACGCAAGACATTACAAACATTGCAATGAGTGTTTAAATGTTGCCGTAGGTTCAGTAGCAGGTGTGACATATAACATTCATATACCTCCTAATTCATTTTTTTTTGGTTTTAGACAAGACAAGTTTTGGTCAACTAGGAGGTTGTATTACATATATCGGTGGTCCAGCCATGCTCCTGGGTCAGGGTGTGTGCATCCTTTTCTATTGTGTTGTGACTGCTTAGGTGTAAATGTTGTAGCTGTCTCTTAGGTGAGTGTCTCCCAGGGTGGATGTGAGTCTGATTTTGTGTTACGATCGTGTTGCTTGGTGTGACCCCCTGCGGAGGCCGACCAGGGTATGAGTAGGCTCGTGTCTCTGTCAGGCTGCCCTATCGGTGAGTGCTCGGGTTACTGCGGTTGGACCCATGTTGTGAGGCCTGGCCTCTGAGTGCGAGTGGTGTGTGTGTCAGTGAGTCAGGTTGGAGCCCATACAGTTGAGCCAGTTACCTGTGCTAGCGTTCAGAGTGTAGGGATGCCAGTAGCGGTGCTCAGTGTGACTTGTGGTTAGTGGTCGTAAGATGTCGTCCCCTAACCTAGGGGCACACAGGGGGAGGGTGCTAGGGTTTGTGAGAGTTTATCTCTCTGTCATGGCTGGCAAGGCCCACCTCGCATAATGAGGGGTTGCTCTGGTGCGCGGTCTGGCGCAGTCTGTCATCAGTGTTGTGGCAGCAGCAGCAGAAGGGGGGACTAACTATTATAAACTTTTAGAAAACATATCAAAACATAACATAATGCTTGTGGGAGAGTTGATGGTCTCAAGTCGATGCCCCTCTGTCCTCCCGTCTCCTGGGGGTGAATGGTGTTATTCTTTCCGGGTCCCAAGAGTGAGGAGTGAAAGGGGTCTCCACGTTCCCGGGTCTTGGGTGTAGCCCCAGGGCTTTCAAAAATTAGTCCACCTTGTGAGGAGAGTCTTTGGGTGATGCCCCCCCTGTTCACCATCAGGGCTCTGGGTTGTATCCATCGGTATTCTATGTCCGCATCTTGTAGTCTTCTTGTCACTGGGCCCAGGGACCGGCGCCATAGGAGGGTATTCCATGTGAGGTCTTGGTAGAAGGAGAGTTAAGAGGCCTCAAAGGTGAGTGGGGTCTTTCCCCTGACCGCTGCTTTTAGCCGGGCTTTTTCAGTCAGAGATTGACAGCGGATTATTATGTCCTGCGATGCAGTGAGCGGTGCCTGTTTGGGTTTTTTGATTCAGAAGAATCCGTCGAGTGCTACCTTTTTTGCCTGCGTGGGCGGTAAGAGAGTGCTGAATAGGCGCCTGAGGTAGTGGGCCAATTCAGTTGCATCGACGGAGTCAGGGATCCCCCTGATTTTGAAATTGGCGCGCCTGTGGCGGTCTTCTGCCTGATCTACTCTGGTGGTTGTAGTGGTCTGGGAGGTCTGCAAGTGTTGGACCGTTTCTATTAGGTCTTGTACCTCTTTTTGGAGATCTTGAATATCTTCCTCCTAGGCTTGTGTGCATGTGGTCACCGCTTGTATCTCTGTCTTTATCAAGTCCAGATCCGCAGAGTGCATCTGCCGCATTTCTTGGAGCAAGTCCGCAACATATTTCTTAGTGGCTGGGTTTAGGTTTTCTCGTCTCTCTGCTGTGGGGTAGTGTGTCTGTTGGGGTTCTGTCACCTTTTCTGATGTCTCCTCTGGTTCTTCCAGATAGTTTTCACTGTCTGGTGAGATCGCCATTTTGGAAGGTGTTGGGCGTTGCAGCATGGTGCTGATATCTAGGGAGTCTCTGTTAGCTCCCGGTGGAGGTTTCTGCGAACTAAGGCCCATATTGCTCAGTTCCCGGTGGGGGGTTTCCCCACTGATCAGGAATGGGCTTGACAAGGCAGCTGTTAGTGCCAGTAGGTCTGGTGCAGGCCTTGCAGTGCGGTATTCCAGGTAGGTCACTGATATCCGCCGGGTTTTTCTGCCCGTTTGCGGGTACAGAAATGGCATCTGTGTCATAACTTTTTTGACATGCGTTTTTCTGCATTTATTTTTTGTTATTCTGTCTCTCACTGTTAAAACACACCTACCATTAAAATTATAGACTGATCAGTTCTTTGTCAAACATTCAAAATCAGCAGGGGATCAAATACTTTTCCCCAAAGGCCCCCCCTTTCTCTGGGCTGAGACTTCCTGGTTCAGCCCAGCCACCGCTCCCTTTATTACGCATTCACTTAGTGGGCCCTTTTTTACAGGCCTACTCGAACATCGGTTTTAGCACACCACAATCAACTTATCCCACCACTACTATAATTCGGCTTACTTGTACTTATACACTACTTTTGTATGTATATATGTACATGTGTATTAGTATGTGTGTCTGTGTATGCTGGATATAGGCCTTCATGCATATTCTGTAACTCTTGGATGGGAATTCATGCATTCTTAGTATACGTAATTATTTTGTTTTTACCCTCCCCTTCTAGCACCATCTTCTGCACTGTTTGCTTGGTGAGGCCTAATAGAAAGCAGTTGTTTTTGGGGGATTCTATCATAAGAGGTGTGGAGATGGACAATTGTGGTCTTGTGAGATGTCTTCCTGGAGCTACTGCTCACAGAGACAGGAGACATATTTGTAATATTGTTAAGCGAGCAAACAAGGAAGGGAAATTGGATGTACTTGTCCATCTAGGGACAAATGACTTGGCTTGCAATGAGGTTTCAGAGGTAAAGGAAGTTTTTAGTGGTTTTGTCAAAGATATACTGCAGGTTGCTTCCATGCTGTCATTCTCTGAAGTTCTGCCTGTGTATAACACTCAGAACGACAGGCGGATGCGTATTAGGGACTTTAACTTGTGGCTTGGTGAATGGTATCGGGAGCAAGGATTTGGCTTTATTTCTCATGGTAGCTCTGTTTGGAATGGAAATAAACTGTACAAAAAGCTGGTTTGCATCTTCCTCAAAAGGAAACAAATGTTCTCAGTGAGCAGTGCAGAGGTTTTGCTATGATGTATTTAAACTAGGGGGGGGACAAAAGGGTGATAAAACATCAATCCAATTGCCCCCCCAAAATAAGGACAGAAGGTAGCAAGTGTGTTGAAAATGATAAGCTTAGAGTCATGTCTACAAATGCTTGCAGTTTAGGGAATAAGATCCATGAACTTGTGGCAATAATGGCAACTGATAATGTAGATTTAGTCGCTGTTACTGAGACATGGTATAATGAGAAAAATGACTGGGACATAGCAATACCAGGATACTCTTTATATAGAAAAGACAGGGAAGGCAAGAAAGGGGGAGGGGTGGCCCTGTATGTTAAGGATAGCATAAAATCTAGCCTAATAAAAGTTAGTGAGGTGGACATAGTCTGTTTGGGTTATGTTAGAATTTGGTAATCACGCAGTAACTCGTGTAGGCGTGATTTATAGGCCCCCAGGACAAATAGAAGAGTTAGATAATCTACTAGTTGAGGAAATAGCTAAAATGACAATAAAGGGGGAAGTTATCATCATGGGTGACTTTAATCTTCTTGATGTGAATTGGAAAACAAAAATAGCTGCTTATGCCAGAAGCACACATATTCTAAACTCCCTACTGGGATTGTCTCTAAAACAACTCGTTGAGAGCCAACTCGTAAGGAGGCCATAGTGTTAACAAATGGAGATTTGGTATCAGATATTACTGTAGGGGAAAGTTTAGGATCCAGTGATCATCAGTCAGTGTGGTTTAATATAAGAACAGTGACTGAGTCACACCACACAAAAACAAAAGTTTTAGACTTTAGTAAAACAGATTTTTCTAAAATTAGAATATGTATAAAGGAGTCATTCTCAGACTGGAGCAATTTAAATGGAGTCCAAGAGAAATGGGATTATTTAAAAGTTGCACTGCTGAAGGCAACAGAAAATTGCATTAGGCTTGTCAGTAAAATCAAAAATTTCAAGAAACCACTGTTGTACTCCGCAGATGTGGCCAAAATAGTAAAAAAAAAAAAAAGTTAGCATTTAGTAATTGTAAAAAAAAAACCAGAGTGAGGAAGAAAGAATGATCTATAAGATTAGGCAGAAAGAGGCTAAGCAAGTTATAAGGGCTTCCAAATCACACACAGAAGAGAAAATAGCACAGTCAGTAAAAAAAGGGGACAAATCATTTTTTAGATACCTAAATGAGAAAAGGAAAGTAAAACAAGGATTAGATTAAAAACAAAAGAAGGAAGGTATGTAGAAGAGGATAAAGGTCTAGCTGACTGCCTCAGTGAATATTTTTGTTCAGTATTTACAGATGAAAATGAAGGAAAGGGGCCTCAGTTAGGAAAAATGACAAATTAGTCATTTGTTACATGTGAGTTTACAGAGGAAGAGGTTCTATTTCAACTGTCAAAAGTAAAGACAAATAAGTCAATGGGACCTGGTGGAATACGCCCAAAGTTATTAAAAGAGCTTAGTGGTGTACTAGCAAAACCATTAACAGATTTATTTAACCAATCATTGTTAACAGGTGTAGTCCCAGACGATTGGAAGTTAGTGAATGATGTGCCCTTTCACAAGAAAGGTAGAAGGGAGGAGTCGGGCAACTATAGGCCAGTAACCCTTACTTCAGTAGTAGGGAAAGTAATGGAAACCATAGAAAAAATTAACAGTTTGTTGGAACCAGTGAATGTAGGTGCTACTATCACCTTGTGTGAATCACTCAAACACACATAAATAGTGAGACAAAGTGTAAATAAAAATAATGGTGAGAGCACTCAATAAAATAAATAACTAAAGGTGTTACCAATATTGGTATAAATGTATACCTAAAGGGATATAAAACATATTTTATATGACTTATGTTTTTTTTTTTTTATTATTCTTACTTATTTTTATTATGACTTTTTTAGGAATTGTAATAATATGTTCTCCTTATTCTCTTTACCCTTTGAAGTTAGGGGTAGCTATGTGTATACAATTGAGTTATTTTGCTTCATTGCACTAATAATATGAACTAATGTAGAGACTGGCAAGTTTGCAATAGAAACAGACTTTCCAAAATGGCGTCCGAAGTACTTCCAGTTGACGTCTGCCGTGATGACGTCACGACATAGGATGCACAAAGATGACGTCGGACATGGGGAAATGATGAATGCGGAAGCAGAAACCGGAATTGATCGGAGAAATGCGCCAAAATTTTTATTTATAAACAGAACAAGCAGAGATGGACAAGCAGCACCACTTTGAAGAAGGCATTTCGTTGAAATGCGTCAGTGGCATATTGTATGGACTATATTTTATCTGCAATTCGTTTTTAATGTGATTTTTTAATAAAATCTTTTATTTTGATCCTGCATTCTGGAATTTTGGATTTGATTGTTTCAAGACTAATTTGGCTTTACCCTGGCCATTGCAAAAGTCCATCTTTACCAAGATTCATCTCTGCTACAAACCTATAGTCTGAGTCAGCTTTTAAAGTGACTCAGCAACATGTGAGTTTGACCAGTTATTTTACAATATATAATACAAGTGCAAACGGTATTACCCTATGGTCTTTTTATGTTTTATATCCCTTTAGGTATACATTTATACCAATAATGGAAATCATGTTAAAAGATAGGATTGTTGAACATCTAAAAACACATGGATTTCAAGATCAGAGACAACATAAGTTTACTGCAGGGAGATAATGCCAAACTAATCTTATTGATTTTTTTGATTGGGTAACTTATAAAACACCCCTTCATGTCTCATTACAGATGATTATACTTTGTCTGATACCAGCAAAGTTTATTGTATGTGTAGAAGCCCTATAAAGGGTTAAATGTGAAAGGGTTTATAAAATATCCCTTCCTGTCTCATTAGAGATGTTTATACTTTGTCTGATACCAGCAATGTTTATTGTGTGTGTAGAAGCCCTATAAAGGGTTAAATGTGAAAGGGTTTATAAGATACCTCTTTTCGTCTTACTGGAGATTCTTGGCTGATATCAGCATATCTAATGGCTAGTGTAGGACTTGCCTTGACGTGGCAGGTGAGCTTATATATTCAAATGGCCATTGGAATAAAACTAAAGAGCCTCCATTTTGTTTAAATGTACATGGGGATTTAGGCCAGAGCGCAGGTAACGTTCTATTTGTTTTAACTAAAATAATAGATCAGGGTGGTGCAGTAGACATTGCTTACCTTGATTTCAGTAAGGCTTTTGACACTGTTGCTTATCAATAAACTTCAATCTTTAAGTTTAGATTCCAATATTGTTGAATGGGTAAGGCAGTGGCTGAGTGACAGGCAAAAGAGGGTTGTAGTCAATGGAGTATATTCGAAGCATGGACTTGTCACCAGTGGGGTACCTCAGGGATCTGTACTTGGACCCATTCTCTTTAATGTTTTTATTAGGGATATTGCAGAAGGTCTTGATGGTAAGATACGTCTTGTTGCTGTTGCTACTAAGATATGTAACAGGGTTGATCAAGATAATGCATCTTGGATGGAAAAACCCAAGGGCAGAGTACAGAATATTTGATAGAATCCTAACCTCAACATCTGAAGAAAGGGATTAAGGGGTGATTATTTCTGATGACTTAAAGGTAGGCAGACAATGTAATAGAGCAGCAGGAAATGCTAGCAGAATGCTTGGTTGTATAAGGAGATGTATTAGCAGTAGAAAGAGGGAAGTGCTCATGCCATTGTACAGAACACTGGTGAGACCTCACTTGCAGTATTGTATGCAGTACTGGAGACCAGATTACCAGAAGGATATTGATACTTTAGAGAGGGTTCAGAGAAGGGCTACTAAACTGGTTCATGGATTGCAGGTTAAAACTTACCAGGAAAGGTTAAAGGATCTTAACATGTATAGCTTGGAGGAAAGACGAGACAGGGGAGATATGACAGAAACATTTAAATACATAAAGGGAATCACAGTAAAGGAGGAGACTATATTTAAGAGAAGAAAAACTACCACGACAAGAGGACATAGTCTTAAATTAGAGGGGCAAAGGTTTAAAAATAATGTCCGGAAGTATTACTTTACTGAGA